CTGAGGTGCCTGTGGGCCACCCATGAGCCAAGATCACACCATGCCAAGGCCAGTTAACGAAAGCCTTAATTCCTCCTGCCCTTCATACGCTGGCCAGGGATCCAGCACACTCAGGGGTTCTGGGGAGGAGGGTGTGGACATCCATTGGCTCTTGCTCTGCCCACCACATGCCCTGTCCATCTTACCAACAGCCACGAGCGCTTGCACAACTAAGACCCCATTTTACAGATGGGGGACTGAAGCTGGATCACCCAGGGTCACTCACTCTGGGGGTATCAAGGCTAAGGGTTGAAGTCACTGAATTAGAAGGCAGACCTGAGCCCTCTGCCTGGCAGGGTAGGCAGATTCGTTCATTGAAAATCCAATCCAAGCAGGAGGATAGGGCCTAGCACTCCAGCCTGCAGCCAGGAGCTATTGAGTAGAGATACATACACATACCATGAGGCTCTGCGGGTTATGAAGGGTGTGCACACGACCCCTGAGGCTTCACGCAGTCTGAAGAGTGTACACACACCACAGAGGTGCCATGTGGCATGAAGTGCATGCACATAGCCCATGAGGCTCCTCGCAGTCCACTTACACATGAGGAAATGGGAGCCGAGGCCTGGTGGAGCTGGGACCCAAAGCCACATCCTTCCAGCCTTCACCCCAACCTGCCTCTGAACTGTGACCCCACTGCAGCCTATCCCTGGCAGCGGCAGAGGTACTCAGGGTTGGCCCCGTGCCCTTCCACTTCATCCTGAGAATGCAGCTCACACATGCAGGGGGCAGGCAGAGGCCAAAGTCAAAGGATGGACTGGGAAGTGAGGGGCAAGGGTACAATGGACAAGGCGCAGCCAGCCAGGGGCACCATGGGCCCCCAGCCCGAGATGCCTGGAGCACAGCCAGGCAGGCTGGAAGGAAGCCCAGCCCTTCTCCCCCCTCCCCTGCCTGCTGTCACTCACTCTACCGACACATGCACATGTGCTGCTCTATTTTTAAAACTCTCTTTGGAGCCCTGGATGTCCTGGAACATGTGCCGTTTCAGTGGTGGGAAAGTCTCCAGCTGAACTCCACCAATTATGCAGGCTGCAACTCCTCAGAGCTCCAAACATGTCCACACCCATGGGCCTCCAGAAGCCAGCGACTGCTCCCGACGGTAGTCATGATGTATGACCTTTGAGGCCACTAAGTGTTGGGGTATTTTGTTATGCAGCAATAGATAACTGATACAGGTATTACTGTGAACTTACTTATCTTTTTTTTTTTTTTTCCTGAGACAGGATCTCACTTGGTTGCCCAGGGTGGAGTGCAGTGGAGTGATCACGACTCACTGCAACCTCGAATTCCTGGGTTCACGTGATCCTCCCACCTCAGCCTCTCAAGTTGCTGGGACTAAAGGCACTTGCCACCACACCTAGCTAATTTAAAATTTTTTCTGGTAGAAACGAGGTCTCACTATGTTGCCCAGGCTGGTCTCAAATTCCTAGCCTCTGCAATCCTCCCACTTTGGCCTCCCAAAGTTCTGGGATTACAGGCATGAGCCATTGTGCCTGGTCTTAATTCATTTTTAAATTTTAGTAAGAAAGCTTCTTGCTAGCAAGAATTGCCCAAGTGTCTGGAGGCAGAGGAAAGAAGGACTACGGCTGGAGAGATGGTGGCACTCTCGCTTCAGCATCCTGCTGGGATACAGTGATGACTCGCATGTCCTGCTGGAATGACCCATCCTGCTCATCATTGAATCTCTCCTGCTAGCATGACAGAAACTTGCAGAGCACTGAGTACCAGGCAGTGCTGGAGGGACCCAGGGTAAGCTAGCAGACAAAACAAGCAGGACCCCAGCCCGTGGGAGCGTCCATCCAGGGGCCTTTCATGTGGCGACTCTTTGGGCTGGGTATTCACTGGGTGCAGGTGATAACCTGGCTTGGCAATGAGGACACAGCCTTGCCCACATCACATGGGGGCCCGTGGGAAGCCTGAGCCCTCACCTGCACACCAGTTGCTCTCAAGCCAGCGCTCCTGCTGCATCCAAGAGACACAGCCCCTGTCAGTGGATCTTGGCCTCCGCTGACTCCCGGGACCAGCTGGCACCTCTCTGACCAGGGTCAAGGCAGCAGGTCCCTGGGTTTTCCAGTTCACTGCACAATGCTCACACCCTGAACCCTTGTCCCCCAGGCTGTGCCCAGCTTCATGTGTCAGTGTTAAGATGGGACCAGCAAGGGTGTGGCTGTGTCACCAACAGCCACGGCGGGACCAGATCAGACAGACCTTTCACATCCCCTCTACACACCACATCCTTTCAGTGGTCTCAGTTGTACAGGATGGGCTCCTGTCTGGGGAAATCAGAAGAGAAAGAGGCAAACAACTCAAAGCGGAATGCTTCCGGCTGTGAGCCACAGGCCCCTTGGTGCTCGGAGAACAATTCCAAACAGCCGGTGGTGTGGCCACTGGGGAGCCCCCACCAGGCCCGCGTCCACTGGTGTAGAACAAGTCCTTCCAAATGACATTTCCCTCCATGACTTTAAGCAAATGCCTTGTCATAATATTTGTACTAAGTTGCTTTTTATGATTTTTTAAGCTCCTAGGCTAGCTCAAAGAGGAATCTTTGAAAATAAGGCCAGCTTAGCCAAAAGGTCAGGGGCTGAAAACCAAACAGTGAGTTCCGGCGACTGGGAGCGTGCACTTCTGTGGTTCCTGCAGCATCCCCCTGGGTGGTGACGCTGCCAATTGCAGAGAGACAGACCCCAGTGGCCCCTGGCTGTGGCCTACCTTGGAGGGGCCCTCAACAGAGATGCCTGGTGGCCCAGTCGTGGTCAGGCCCCAATGTGACCATGGGTGTCACAGCAGTAGTGGCTGCATAGGGCTGCCAACGTCCAGCAGTGTCACTGCCTGGGGCAGTGTGAACACATGTCCCAGCGCAAATATCCATACTTGCTGGATGGATCTTGTGTCCCACAGGACAAGTCCAACCTTCCGGAGCCCACTTCTGTTAGACAGGGCACCTTGCCCACACCCTAGCAAGTCAGACACTCGTTTCATCCCTGCCACCAGACCAGCCAGTAAAAGCCTCAGGCTGCATTCAGCCACTGTTCCCACCTCACAGATGGCTAAGTCAAGGCACAGAGAAATGAGAATACTTGCCCAAATATGGAGTAGCAGGGCCCAGGTTCAAACGCATCTCTCAGCCTCTGAGCCTGCCACACTGTCTACTGGCAAAGAGCCCATCTGTGTTTCCTTTGAAGGCACCTTTGAAACACTTATTTTTATGCACTAAGACTCCCTGGTGGGAACATCAGGCTTCAGTTGAATAGGCAGGGAACATCAGACTTCGGTTGATCAGGCAGGCCCAGCACAGGCTGGGACAGAAGAACATATGTGGACCCAGGGCCATCAGCATGGTGGCCTGAGCTTCTCCTGGGGCAGGCCTGGGCTGGGGCTGGGTGGGCCTTGGCAGGGTCCCTGCCTGTCCCCTCCCCTCAGTTCCCTGAAACCCCCTAGCCTAAGCAGGTGTTCCACTCCCACCAGGGGCAGCCACTAGACCCATGCAAGACAGGGTTGGATCCCTGGGGCTGTGACCCCATCAGGTCCTCCTGACCCTGGACACTTGGAGCAGGACCCACCCTCACCCTTCCCTGGGGATGCAATGTGAGGTTTTGGGAAGAGGGATCAGAGGAGGGGTGAGGAAGGGCAGTGGCATCCCTGGGGTCCCCTGGGCAGCCCAGAGATGGGCGGTAAGCCTCTGCTTGGCCACCTTTGTGGGTATCCCTCCAGGAGCTGGGGAACAGGGAGGGACAAGGACCTCACTACCTTCACATAGCTCCCAAGCCCGGCATGGGCACCCTGTGAACGGTCCCAGGAGGGGTGGATATGGAGGGCTGTGGAGCCTCAAAGATTGCCCATGAGCCCCACATCACAAACCAGGTGGGCTCTCAGGGTCACTTCCAATGAGCAAAGCTTGGTGGTGATAAACGGCCCAGCAGGGGCCCACTCACCCACAGAGGCACAGGCCCACCCCAGGGTGTCGGATGCAGGGGAGGGTAGGAAGGAGGAGCTGTCTTGTGCACCTGCCTTCCCCGTTCCCCCTCCCAGCTCACTGCGCTAGAGGGCCCTGGGCTTCCGCTCTGGCACCCTTCCTTGTAGGCACCCAGGAGGGGGCACCACCAGCTGTGCAGTGGCCCTGCCCCACCAGCGGGAGCCTGCCGGGTCGCCGCCCTCCCCTTGGCCCCTCATACCCACTGAGCAGGTTGGAGCACGGGTAGGGAGTGGGGGTGCAGCTCCCTCCTGGATGTGAGAAGTTGGGGAGACGAGAAAAAGGGGACTGCGCCGCCGGGGGAGTGTGGCCAGGAAGATCCAAGTCCAACGCCCCACGCACCTCGCAGGGAATCCCGTTCCCGGGGCGCTCGCTCCAGCCAGGGGTGCTCCTGGGAGCGAGCGGGAGACCCGCCAGCCGGCACCGGGGCTGGGCGGGGACGGTGGCCGCGCGGCCTCC